TATATCTTTCCTTTTCTCTTTTGATTTTTGCTTCTCTTCTTTTCTCAGCTATTTGTAAGACCTCCTCAAACAACCATTTTGCCTTTTTGTATTTCTTTTTCTTGGGGATGGTCTTGATCACTGCCTCCTATACAATGTCAGGGACCTCTGTCCATAGTTCTTAATGCACTCTGTCTATCAGATTTAATCCCTTGAAGCAGCACCCTCCCTCTCAGCCACTGTTATTTTAATGGTCTTTCTGAATGATGTGAGGAGATAGCTCATTTTGGTTTTCATTTTCATTTCTGTAATAATTCATAGAAGTGAGCTTGTTTTCATGTGCCTATTAGCCATCTGAACATGTCCTTTGGAGAAATGTCTATTTAGTTCTTCTGCCCATTTTTTAATTGGATTTTATTGTTGTTGTTGAGTTGTATGAGCTGTTTGTATATTTTGGAAATTTATCCCTTGTCGGTCACATCATTTGCAATATTTTCTCCCATTCTGTAGGTTGTCTCTTCATTGTGTTTATGGCTTCCTTTGCTGTGTAAAAGCTTGTAAGTTTGATTAGGTTCCATCTGCTTATTTGCTTTTTTTTTAATTAAAAATTATTATTTATTTATGGCTGTGCTGGGTTTTCATTGCTTTGAGGGCTTTCCCCTAGTTTCAGCGAGCAGGGGCTGCTCTATATTGTGGTGTGTGGACTTCTCAATGTGGTGGCTTCTCTTGTTGCAGAACATGGGCTCTAGGATATGTGGGCTTAGTAGTTACAGCTCCTGGACTCCAGGGCACAGGCTCAGTAGTTGTGGTACATGGGCTGAGGTGCTCTGCGCCTGTGGGATCTTCCTGGACCAGGGAGGGATTCCATGTCTCCTGCAGTAGCAGGTGGATTCTTTGCCACTGAGCCACCAGGGAAGCCCCCATTTGTAAAGTTTTGCTTATATGTCTATTACCTTAGGAGACTGACCTAAGAAAACACTGGTATAATTTATGTCAGAGAATGTTTTGGCTATAATCTCTACTAGAAGTTTTATGATGTTACATCTTATGATTAAGTCTTTAAGCCATTTTGAGTTTATTTTGTGCATGGTGAGGGGATGTGTTCTAACTTCATTGATTTACATGCCTGTGTTTCTGTCCCTATGTCTTAGTCTCCTCTTCATCTAAGCGCACCAGTCACATTAGATTAGTTCCAGTATAACTAAGGGTAATCATTACTTTAAAGTCCATGACACCAAATTCTAAGGTGCTGATGACTAAGGTGACAACATGTGAATTTGAGGACATGATTAATTTACAGCAAGCCGAGAAAAGCAAAGCAAAGAGGCTTCATAGAGTCAGCAGGTGTGTGAGGAGCTCTGAGCTCTGGACTCTAGGAACTGGGATTCCACATCCACTAAGTGGGGGTTGTCAGACTTTGGTGGAACCTGCCCGTGTATAAAACATGCTCAGTGTTGAGGTGATGAAAGAGTTGTGGAGATGGATGGTGGTGATGGATGCACAACATTGTGAATGTACTTAATGCCACTATATGGCTACATGGTTAAAATGGTAAATTTCACTTTAGGTATATTGTAACACACACACAAACCTGAATAGTAGCACAGAATCTTTGAGAATGAGAGAACAGGGCAGATGACACATGGCATGGCCTCCCCCTCTCTGATCTGACTCCCCTTTCCCAGCCTCTCCTGTTCATGACTTGATGAATTTTCCCTTAGAGAAGTGCCTTGTGTCTTGTCACGAGTTCAGTGACAGGAGCTCATGCTGTGACAGGGATTCCCCACCCTCACCCTCCTGGTATCGTGAGTGTCTCAGTCTCTTGGTTTCCAGCACCTCACCCCGGACTTACAAATGTCTGTCACCCCATCTTTTGAGCATCTGCACAAGTTCTCCATCAGGGCAGGAACAGATTCTGCTGGTCATTGCATCTGTGTCACAGGGAGGGGAGAGCAAGACATTTTGATACCAAGTACAGTGTGCTGATCACAGAAGTTCTCCTGAGTTCTTTTTCAAACACAGGAGATTATTTATAAAATCATCTCATATTTTGGGTGTACCACTTTGGATATGTACTTGAAAGAAACAAGCTTAAGATTGTTGTTTGCTAATCAGAACCACACTCTAGGGTGACTTAAAGCAGAGAGCATGAAAGCTATTAAGGAAGCCACTCAGCAGCAACTGGAGAATTTTCTCAAGTTAGAGAGTTGGATGGGACATATGCTGTGAGAGATGGTGGTTGTGTGGAAGCTTAACAATGGGGAATGTTTTGTATTAGAAGTGAATGAATCACACTTCTACCATTAACAGTTTCCTCTGTCATGACGGAAGGTCAGAGAGGTTCATGAGTTTTACAACTTTTTGCTGTGAACACTAAGTGGGTTCTATTATCTACAGAAGGTGAGGGGCCTTAGATGAACTGATGCAGTCTCACCTGTGTCCAGTTATGGATCCTGTCATGGTTCAGCCCCACATCACCAGACCCCTGCCTCTTCAGGTCTGCGGGTCTGTCCTGATCAGACTCCCATCCTCCCGTCTATGCGGCTCACCCTCCTGCCCCCGCCCTTCACAGACCCTGTCCCTCCCCCTGCCATTCAGGACGCAGTTCCAGGTCCTCAAGCAGAGAACAGGCTTCTTTGCTGTCTGCCCCCATTAGCCTTTCCAGCTTATCCTGAAACCCACTCAGTATCCAGCTGTGCTGTCTCTGTGGGGGTCCTTTCTTACTTCCATCTGTACATACTGGTCCCTCTGTCCCAGAGCCAGGGAACAGTGTGCCAGGGCACAAAAGGAAGGTGTAAGATCGGCCCTGCTGTTCCCCCCTTCTCCTCCAGGGGGCGCCCGCGCCCCTCGGTCTTCCCCGAGTCCCCAGTGAGTGCACTTGACCATTTATGAGTGCCCCCACCAGCCCATAAGCTGTGAATGCAGGAAAATTCCTCAGCCCAACTTGTTCCATCCCAGGACCCTTGCACCTGCTGTGTCTTCTTCCAGGATGTTTCCTCAGAGAGTCTCAGGGCTCCTGTGACTCCCCATCTAAGACAGCAGCCTCTCTTGCCTTTCCTTCAGAGCACAGGTCACTGCCCAATAGTGCATTTTCTACACTCACTCAGTGTGTCCCCTTCTACACGGTGTGGAGGACTGTCTGCTGTACTTAGACAGGCCTGGCTCCTTGGCAAACCTCTGCTGATGGAATGAATGGAAGTGGGTACTGTCTGTTTCATTTCTATCCCCTCTTCAGTGGGGTTTGTCCTCTCTTAACACAGCCCTCCCTTATATAGGATTATATATGAGATTATAGAATTAGCATAGTCCTTACATAGGAATAATAGTTAAACAACTGGTTGCTGACTCGGTCATTTCTATGGCATGACTTGGAAATCTTAAAAAAACTCGGAAAATACTGTATTTTTCTAGTGATTTGGGTGAAAGCATTATTTAGGAAAAATTCAAAGCCATCAACTGATCATTTCATTGTAATTGTTTGTATTACCTCATCTGTGATGAAATGTAGGGAGAAAACATTTTACAGCTTTTGTGTTGGTCCATCTTGGACATAACATCCCATCAGATTTGATTAACATTCGCCTTCAGGACCTTTAGGCAGGTAAATATTAATTGAGGCAAAAAAAATTCCATTTAAAAACTTTAGTACTAAGTCTGAAAAGGTGTTAGTCAAGAAACTTAGGTATGAACGCTGAGCTAACACATGTCAAAAGGTAAAAATGAATCCTTTGGACTTAATGACGTGATGGTGTATGTGTCTACACCCTGGGGTATTGCTTCTGATCATAGGTCCAGTGTCCAGTGTGTCCCCTTAGGACTTTTCTTCCTGAGCCCAAAGCACATGACCTCTCATGGTTAGGGAGGACTGGAGGAAGAGGGTGACATTTACCAAGTGGATTTGCGGTTTGATTTCTCAGAATGTGTGGATGGGTTGTCACTGACCTTGTTTTGAGATGAAGAAACTGAGGTTCGGTCGCTCATCTGATATTATCAGGTTTGGGAGAGGGACTGAGCTGCAGTCTGCTGCTTCCAGACTTTCCTTCTGACTCACTCACAGCCTGAGTTCTGGCCCAGGTTCCTGAGATTTCCTCTATGAGGGGCTCGGGCTCCCAGAGTACCTGCCTGGAGCCCTGCCCGTGGTCACCAGGGCCCCGGACGAGGCACTCACTTCTCTGGAGGGGTTGTGGACCCAGTGGGATGAGACTGGAGCTGAGTCCCTAAGGGTCTGCATTTAAAATGTAGGAGCAATATTTTACTGTGAAAAAAATTTAAGGTTGAATAGTGAGGGGGTGTCTTGACTATAGAGAACTGGAGTGTCCTTTGAGCCATTGGGTGATTTCCACTCTGATTTGGGTCTTTTGGATTCTGTTCTTTTATTTTCATGTTTGGAAGGTGTTCAGTCTTAATGAAAGAATACTTGCTTCCTGGATGGAACTGGGAATGTAGAGGCTGATGGAGGCCACAATGACATTCATATTCTGTTTAATATTCTTTGGGAACGAGTGTCTAGCAAATGCACTCTGGCAAAGGTTACCAAGAATCTATTAGGCTTTTGTTGCAAATATTACATCATTAATTTTAAATAAGGACCTATAAAACTGTCTAAGAATGTACACATTTTTATATGACATAGATTCCTCTTTTCCCATTCCTTCATAGTGATAAAATAGTGTTTTAGTTCAGTCAAATTTTGATTTCTCAGTATTGCTTGGTTGTTTTTCTTTATAAAACATGTAAATAATTGTTAAGCTATGTTTTAGAGAAAAGAACTTAGCTGTTAGTGCCTCCTTCACTGGACTGGTTTTTAGAATTTTTTGTAGCACTAGATTCAGATTTGCTGCGGATGAATTTAAGAACCTAGTCAGAATAATTGATTTATGTGTATGTAATTTTTATTATTGATTTTGTATTTAAACTACAGATCTTTGCTGTGTGATCTTTGTCTCACTGTTTTCAAAATATAAGTTTTTTTTAGCACCCCCATAACGTGCTTTTACATTCTGTACCTTTTACATTTGTAGGTGTATTCATCAGGTCTTGAAGGAGAAGATCACAATCTTAGTGACTCATCAGTTGCAGTACCTAGAAGATGCAAGTCAGATTCTGATATTGAAAGATGTAAGTAATTTCTAGAAGTCTGTGGAATTGCTAGCACACAGGTGTGTTGAAAGACAGACCTCCCCACAGGTCACTCTCCTTGAATTCATGGTAAACACCTTCTTCTCCCTCACTTTTTTACCTCTTCTTCTCAGAGCTGCTGTTCATGCCTTGCAGGATGAATCCAAAGACCTGTAGCCCGCCAGGCTCCTCTGCCCATGGTATTCTCCAGGCAAGAATACTGGAGGGAGTTGTTATGCCCTCCTCCAGGAGATCTTTCTGACCCAGGGATCAAACCCTGTCTCATTGGCAGGCAGTTTCTTTACCACTAGCACCAGCTGGAAAGCCCAGAAATATCACTATTCTACTCTAAGCCACATAAACCCTAAAGTATTTAAGTACAACCACAGGGTTATTGAATCATCACTGTCCTAATGAAATCTGTTAAGTATAATGATGCAATTTTATTTAGAACTTTTTATTTTCCTCTTCCATGACTTAAGTCAGAGTATATTACTTAGAAATTAAAAAAAAAAAGAAATTAGAGATACTAAGATCTGTTTGCATCCACGTGGTTGTTATATGTAGCTTGCCTAAAGATCATCTTCCATTAATGTATGGGAGCCTGTGCAGGAGGACAAGGTTCTGCCTTCATGGGGCTCCTGATTTTAATGGGGATGGATGTGACATCCTGGCTGCCTCCCTGAGGAGCTGGTGCCTCATGGGGTCTGAGTGACATGAACGTGTGGGCCACACTGTCACCTAGGGGAATGGGTCTGAGGCAGGGGTTCCAAAGGAAGGAGCTGACCTGGCAGGTTGGAGGAATGACAGTAAGACCAGCATGTCTGAGGAGAGTGAGCAGGGGGACGTGGGGGGAGCTGGTCTCTGAACTGTGGGCTGGGGACCGGAAGTGGGATGGAAGCCTTGGATGGTATCAGATATGAGAGATCCCTCTGATGTTCACTGGAGGGGTGACAGCAGAAGTAGTTAGGGGTCTTAGTAAAGTTGAGAAAATGGAAGTGTGGGCTCAGGCTTGAGTATCAGTTTGTAGAGCTGCTGTAACAAAGAATCACAAACTGGGTGACTTAAAATAACAGGTTTATCGTCTCCCTGTTCTGGAGGCTACAAATCCCAAATCCAGGTGCTGGCAGGGCCATGCTCTCCTGAAGGCTCTAGGGGAGAATCCTTCCTCCCAGGCTCTGGTGTTCACCGGCCTTCCTTGTGTTCCTTGGCTTCCAGCTGCAGTGCTGTGGTCTTTGCCTCTGATGTCACATGGCTGATGTCCCCATGTCTGTCTGAGTCTTTTCTCTTCTCATAAAGGACATCAGTCATATTGAATTTAGGGTCATCCTGCCCCAGTGTGACCTCATCTTAACTTTATTACATCTGCAAAGACCCTGCTTCCAAATAAGATCGTGTTCACAGGTGTCGTGTTTGAACTTATCTTTTCAAGGAAAGGGGCACCATTCACACCACAACTCCTAGAATTTTGGGGGTGGGGTGGAAGTTAGTGAGAAGTGTTCAGACATGGTGGTTGTTTGATGCTTCACTCCTTGGCCTGTTTACCTCTGGGCCTCAGCACTTTTGTCGTTAACCCCTGACTGTTCCACAGGCCCTCGATCAGACCCCTGACTTAAGAAATGAATTTCTGATCTAAGAAAGATTACTAAAATGCAGAACCTCTGTCTCTCTAGAAGCAGTTCCATGTGTTGACCCCTCTCCACTCCTCTAGGAATGGGTTGAGGGAGGGGCTAAGGTTTCTCAAGCTTGAGAGCAGTTGATTTCATATTCAGAGGGGGTGATTCTGGTGCGTAAACCTCAGTGTTGACAGTTTTATGACCACAGATTAGTGCGCAGGAGAATAACCCATTGAACCAATCCCTAGATATTTTAGGGTCCCCTATTGCTTCCTTTGAGAACACTACCCCTAATTTTACTATTAACAAAACAACTATTTGTCCCCTGGTGAGCACCCCTTGGATGAGTTGGGGTGCATCCTTACTGTTTGTCTGGTCCGTGTCTCACTACAGAGAGGGGATGGCTGCCCTCTTACTCTCCTTGGGATTGTCAGTGTTTGGCTGCTGAGTGAAATTGCTGTCTTTGTACCACTAGTCATTTCATTGTGCATATTACAGATGTGAAGTGGTGAGTGGTGATTTCTTTAAAGAGGTATGTGAATTTTGCCTCCCAAGTAGAACAAGACACACCATATCCTGCATGATATTCTAGTTCTGCAGTATCAGATGGTACCCAGATGCTTCATTGGGTTTCTCCCAGTGGCTCACTTCAGGGGATAGGGTGAGAATGATCCCAACTAGGGTCCTGAGTCAATTTCCATCTAATCAGTGTTAACCAGAGCTGCTCGCATTTGATGAGTTTTGCATCCTAGGATTTTTTTTCCTAGTGTTTTGCTTGCCACTGAGTGAATCAGCTGCATCTTGTTTAGGGGTTGGAAAATGATGAAAACATCAGCACATTATTTTATATGACTTTGTAAGGGAGGGAAACTGTGCGGTGATGTGTTACATGTGTTCAAAGAACATGATGAGATTGGCTGTAGCTTAAGCAGTTGTCTGATTTAGAGAAGCCTGGTTGGCAGCTTGTGGTTGTTCTTCAGTTTTTTCTCAGATCTAAGTGCATTGATTGTGGCTTAGGTTTTGGTTTGTAGGTACAGGCTGCCAAGGCTTTAGAGCCACCCCAGACCCATGGCCTCCTTGTTTAATTACTTTAACAGTGGAATATTGAATTTTCAGGTTTGAACTTCCTGAGTGTGTGGGGCAGTTGTAGAGACAGTAGAGATGCATCTCATGAATTTTCTGTCCAGGGCTGGTTCCTGTTATCCCAGCTGGGCGCATGATAGTATGACAGTGACAGTGGTCAATGAAGATTTAATGAGTGACTCTTACCTATATGCAGATGTGCTTGTGCCCACCTCTGGGTTAAGTTTAAATTTCTTTCCTAGAATATCCTCCCCAATTGACTGCTTTTTAAAATTCTGCTTGTCTCATGAGTTGCTGTATGTGCTTAGTCACTTAGCTGTGTCCGACTGTTTGTGACCCTGTGGCCTATAGCCCATCAGACTCCTCTGACCGTGGGATTTCCCAGGCAAGAACTCTGGAGTGGGTTGTCATGTCCTCCTCCAGGGGATCGTCCCGATCCAGGGATTGAACCCAGGTCTCCTGCATTGCAGGCGGATTCTCTACCATCTGAGCCACCAGGGAAACTTCTCTCAATTCCTATGTTGTCTGTAGAGACTGTGCTGATCTTCCCACCAACCTCGGTGCTTCTTGCTTCCCCAAGTGCTCAGAGTACTTATGTCAACGGCCTCCATTTTAAACCCACAAGCACATGTTTCTTTTACATCCCCAGCACCTAACACAGGGTTTGGCAGAGAACACAATGCTCAGTTCTGTATTGAGTTGACTGAACTAGATTGCCCAACAAGGATTCTAGACTCAGGGATCATTTTTTTAAATAAAAATCATAATTTAAGACCAGATAACTTTTCTTGATTAATATTTAGGTTGCTTTAATATTATCAAATGTAAATTAATTCCTCTCAAATTTTTTAATTTAGGGCAAAACAGTGAAAAGGGGAACTTACGCTGAGTTCCTGAAATCCAGGGTAGATATTTTTTCCCTTTTTGAGAAGGGGAATATGCAATCTGAAACATCTCCAGTTCCAGGAACTGCCACTGTGATCTCTGAGTCTTTGGGTCAGTCTCTACAGTCTCCTAGAACCTCGTTGAAAGATGCGGCTCCAGAAGACCAAGATGTGAGTTTCTATCCATCAGTATGCCCTGGTCTTTCTGCTCTTGTTGGCCTCATGGACCTTCAGTCTGTTCTCTAATGACATCTTCATTTGTCCCAAAGTAGACCCTAAGGTTCCCAAAGTCTTATTCCGTGAAATTGATAGAAGAGCATGAAGGGAGCAAGCCTGCTTGGGGTTCCCCTTTGAGTGCAGGATGGAGAATGTTATGGAGATGAGTAGTGTGTACTGCTATGAATTTCTGGGTACATGTGGCTCACACTGATTGAGAAGTCTTCAGTTTACCATAATTAGATCCTACTCACACTGGTGGCTCCTAACTTCCCTTATGTATCCAGAGGCTTAATGTGAAGACCCCCTTAGACTGAGTCTTGCTGTTGCCACATTAAATCAGCTACTTTTTCTATATGGTGGAATGTTCTAGCATTGCATGTGACTGGTGGTGTTATCTTGCCTCGGTGTCAGATGGTTTATGATAGGCCAGAGGTAACGTGTACAAAGGACCTGACACATGGTAGACACTTTGGTATTAGTTCCTGTCCTCCTTTCTTACCCTTCAATACTGAGAACCACATCTTACCAACCTTGAATCTCAGTGGCTAGGATAGAGTTGAGAACATTCTAGGCTGCTGTAATTCTATAATACATTCTAAGTCTTCCAGACAGAAATGCGGAAATGCACTAGATCTCCCTTAAAATACATAGATATTCTTTGATCTTGAAACCCCGAATATCCAAGCCCAGGAGCTTGGATGATTCTGACAAGTATTCAGATTACCTATTCACTTTCTAAACTCAAGAATCACTCTCTGAAATATCAGAATCAAATAGATTCATATCATACACTTGCATCGTGCTATCCAAACTCATATTACTCCAGCCCTCTCTGTGAACTCAGTTTATTATATTTGGCTAGTATTTTGAGCCCAAAGTATGTTTTCTGTTTCTGTCATTGATAACACAAGTCATCTAGAGGGATACATTAGCTCCATATCATTTTGTGTGTTATTTTAGCTTCTGCATTTATATATTAATTGATTTTGTTGTGTGTGTGCTGACAGTCATGATCTATTTTAAGCAAAGCTACCCAACAGTGAATAACCTCGTGCAAATGTTCTTTTATTTCTAATAGATTCCTAGAAGTAGAATGACTGTGACCAGGGGTAAATGCATATGTGATTTGCCAAGATAGTCCCACACCCTTCTCCATAGGAGATGGACCATCCTGTGCTCCTGCCCATATATGAGATGTGTCTGTTTCCCCACAGCTTTGCAGTGGAGGGCATTGTTGAACTCTTGAAATTTGGGGTTCATTATTTAAAATTTCATCTCTCACTGCCATTTTTCCCTTCCAGACTGAGAACATACAGGTTACAGTTCCTCTAGAGGACCAACTGAAAGGAAAAGTAGATTTTAAGACCTATGCAAATTACTTCACAGCTGGTGCTCACTGGCCTGTCATCATCTTCCTTATTCTAGTAAACATCGCAGCTCAGGTATGTAAGGGCATTTATCTTGATTTGTGTACTCACGTTGATATTTATGTACTATTTATACTGTAGTTTATAATTATTTTTGTATATTAAGAGATTTATCTCAATGAATTAGCTCATGAGGTTGTGGGGTCTTGCTGGGTTAATGTGAGATCAGAAAGGCAGGCCTGCAGGCTGGAACCTCAGACAGGAACTGACCCTGCTGTCTTGAGGTAGAATTTCTTCCTCCTCCAGGAAGCCTCAGGTTTTGGTCTTAGGGCCTCTGACTGACTGGATGAGGCAACCACAGTGTTGAGAGTGATCTCTTCTACTGAAGTTCTCATGATGGATGTGAACCACATCCACAAAATACCTTCACGGCAACATCTGGACAAGAGTTTGGTTGAATCACTGGAGACTGGCCCAGCCAAGCTGACACCCAGAACTGACCATCACTGTACCTGTCAAGCTTTTTGCTTTGAAAAATCCCAACATTTGTACTGTTATTACTGCCTTTTGCAGTCCACTTGGATTTGCATTGAAGAACATTATATTTGTGGAGCAAAGTCTTCTAGGGAAAAAGGGATTTCTTTTGAAGATATTAACATGTAAGATGCCCTCCCCTGGCCTGTGGTCATCGGGGTGAGGGGCTTGGCGCAGACCTGAGCTGGAAGGACCGCCTCCATGTCCTGGAGCCTTCCCCTCCCCCACCCTGTGAGTGGGGTGAGGCTCAGTGACATCAGTGTCTGAGTGACTGTGTTTCCTGCTCCAGGTCGCCTACGCCCTGCAGGACTGGTGGCTTGCAGACTGGTGAGTGATTCCTGCTCTGACCCAAAGTGCTGTGAAATCTACACGAAGCCTCACTTTCCCACAGAGTCAGGGGGAGAGGTGGGGCTAGTTCAGCCTCCTCTTCTGACCCTCATGTAATTTCCCTGAAGAAAAATGAAAGTTCCTGCAGATGGTGTGTGACCCCCTGTGGTCTCTCCCATGTCCCTCCCTTTAGCAGCTTCTTCAGAGATTTATTTTTCTTTTTTTGGACTTTTAATATGGTATTGGAGTATAGCCAATTAACAATGTTGTGATAGATTCAGGTAAACATAAAGGGACTCAGCCATATATATGCATGTATCCATTCTCCCCCAGACCCTCCTTGCATCCAGGCTGCCACATGGAATTAAGCAGAATTCCATATGCTTATACAAAAAGTCCTTGTTGGTTACCTGTTTTAAATATAGCAGTGTGTGCATGATCATCCCAAACTCTGTAACTGTCCTTGCCTCGGCAACCATAAGTTCATTTTCTAAGTCTATCTTTACAGACAGTTTTGAAAACTGAAAGTCGTGATTCAAATTTTTAAAAGGGAGATATACACAGGGTCTTATGAGCTGGAAATACTTTAGAGCATAAAATACATTTCTTGAATTGTGTTTTTTTTATATATTTGTGTATATTCTCTATATAATCTATAGTGTAATGTTTTTTCTTCCCTGTTCCATAGGGCAAAAATACAAAGTGGCCTGTATTTTGGGACATATTTAAAAGAAGCTGAAGATGTAATGTTTGTGCTGAACTGGTTCTTAAGAGTTTTTTCAGGTAAAGTTGCACCATTGGCTCCATTATAGCAGAGTCTAAGGTGTTCATAATGAGTCTGTGTGATAAACTAGGGCTTCGAGAGTAATTCAGCAATGTCTTAACAGATTGTCTTAATTGTATTTACTCTGTGAATTAATTAAGATAATTATTTTAAAGATCAAACCTGGAATGTTAGGTCCATGAATCATGGCAAATTGGAAGTGGTCAAACAGGAGATGGTAAGAGTGAACATTGACATTCTAGGACTCAGCGAACTAAGATGGACTGGAATGGGTGCATTTAACTCAGATGACCATTGCATCTACCACTGTGGGCAGGAATCCCTTAGAAGAAATGGAGTAGCCATCAAAGTCAACAAAAGAGTCCGAAATGCTGCACTTGGATGCAATCTCAAAAATGACAGAATGATATCTGTTCATTTCCAAAGCAAACCATGCAATATGATGGTAATCCAAGTCTATGCCCCAACCAGTAATGCTGAAGAAGCTGAAGTTGAACTGTTGTATGAAGACCTACAAGACCTGCTAGAACTAAAACCCAAAAAAGATGTCCTTTTCATTATAGGGGACTGGAATGCAAAAGTAGGAAGTCAAGAAACACCTGGAGTAACAGGCAAATTTTGCATTGGAATACAAAATGAAGAAGGGCAAAGGCTAACAGAGTTCTGGCAAGAGAACTCACTGGTCAAAGAAAACACCCTCTTCCAACAACACAGGAGAAAACTCTACACATGGACATCACCAGATGGTCAACAACAAAATCAGATTGATTATATCCTTTGCAGTCAAAGATGGAGAAGCTCTATACAGTCAGCAAAAACAAGACCAGGAGTGGACTGGGGCTCAGATCATGAACTTCTTATTGCTAAATTCAGACTGAAATTGAAGAAAATGGGGAAAACCACTAGACCATTCAGATACGACCTAAATCAAATCCCTTATGACTATACAGTGGAAGTGAGAAATAGATTTAAGGGACTAGATCTGATAGACAGAGTGCTTGATGAACTATGGATGTAGGTTTGTGACATTGTATAGGAGACAGGGATCAAGACCATCCCCAAGAAAAAGAAATGCAAAACAGCAAAATGGCTGTCTGAGCCCTTACAAAGGGCTGTGAAAAGAAGGGAAGCAAAAAGCAAAGGAGAAAAGGACAGATATACCCATTTGAATGCAGAGTTCCAAAGAATATCAAGGAGAGATAAGAAAGCCTCCCTCAGTGACCAGTGCAAAGAAATAGAGGAAAATAATAGAATGGGAAAGACTAGAGATCTCTTCAAGAAAATAAAAGAACCCAAGGGAACATTTCATGCAAAGATGGGCACAATAAAGGACAGAAATGGTATGGACCTAACAGAAGCAGAAGATATTAAGAAGAGGTGGCAAGAATACACAGAAGAAGTGTTCAAAAAAGATCTTCAAGACCCAGATAATCATGAAGGTATGATCACTCACACTCACCTATAGCCAGACATCCTGGAATGTGAAGTCAGGTGGGCCTTAGGAAGCATCACTACAAACAAAGCTAGTGGAGGCAATGGAATTCCAGTTAAGCTATTACAAATTCTGAAAGATGATGCTGTGAAGGTGATGCACTCAATACGTCAGCAAATTTGGAAAACTCAGCAGTGGCCACAAGACTGGAAAAGTTTAGTTTTCATTCCAATTTCAAAGAAAGGTAATGCCAAACAATGCTCAAACTACCACACAATTGCACTCATCTCACATGGTAGTAAAGTAATTCTCAAAATTCTCCAAGCCAGGCTTCAGCAATATGTGAACCATGAACTTCCAGATGTTCAAGCTAATTTTAGAAAAGGCAAAGGAACCAGAGATCAAATTGCCAAGATCCACTGGATCATTGAAAAAGCAAGAGAGTTCCAGAAAAACATCTATTTCTGCTTTATTGACTATGTCAAAACCTTTGACTATGTGGATCACAATAAACTGTGGAAAATTCTGAAAGAGATGGGAATACTAGACCACCTGACCTGCCTCTTGAGAAATCTATATGCAGGTCAGGAAGCAACAGTTAGAACTGCACATGGAACAACAGACTGGTTTCAGATAGGAAAAGGAGTACATCAAGGCTGTATATTGTCAGCCTGCTTATTTAACTTATATGCAGAGTACATCATGAGAAATGCTGGCCTGGAAGAAGCACAAGCTGAAATCAAGATTGCCAGGAGAAATATCAATAACCTCAGATATGCAGATGACACTACCCTTATGGCAGAAAGTGAAGAAGAACTCAAGAGCCTCTTGATGAAAGTGAAAGAAGAGAGTGAAAAAGTTGGCTTAAAGCTCAACATTCAAAAACTAAGATCATGGCATCTGTTCCCATCACTTTATGGCAAATAGATGGGGAAACAGTAGAAACAGTGGTTAACTTTATTTTTCTGGGCTCCAAAATCACTGTGGATGGTGACTGCAGCCATGAAATTAAAACATGCTTGCTCCTTAGAAGGAAAGTTATGACCAACCTAGACAGCATATTAAAAAGTAGAGACATTACTTTGTCAACAAAGGTCCGTCTAATCAAGGTTATGGTTTTCCCAGTAGTCATGTATGGGTGTGAGATTTGGACTGTGAAGAAAGCTGAGTGCTGAAGAATTGATGCTTTTGAACTGTGGTGTTGGAGAAGACTCTTGAGAGTCCCTTGGACTTCAAGGAGGTCCAACCAGTCTATCTAAAGGAGATTAGTCCTGGGTGTTCATTGAAGGGCCTGATGAGACACCAATGCTGGGAAAAATTGAGGGCAGGAGGAGAAGGGGACAATAGAGGATGAGAAGGTTGAATGGCATAACCGACACAATGGACATGGGTTTGGGTGGACTCTGGGAGTTGGTGATGGACAGGGATGCCTGGTGTGCTGTGGTTCATGGGGTCACAAAAATTTGGACACGACTGAGCGACTGAACTTAACTAGAAGAAAAGAGGTTGAATGAAGACTCTTAATTTGCTCTAAACTGGATTTTTGTAGTTAAACAAGGATTGCACATTGAAAAATTCAGCCCCTGGGAATACGTGGCTATTGTCTGAAGTAGGTTGCTTTAGCTAACTTTTATTGCTATATGGATGGGTAAGAGGATTAGACATTGAGCCCCACTCTGTGGTTCAGGTTGTTCCAATTCTGTCTGAATAAACCTTGGCTTTTATTGATCTTGAATGAAATCCTCTGGGAGCATGGGCCCAAATAAAAGCATTATTCCCTTGCAGGTATGCAAACCTCCCCTTTACCACACTGCTTATCTCTTGGACTTCACTAATTACTAGAGAAGCTAAGCAGCGCAATCTAGTGTCTTGGATTAGATTCTTTCTCTTTCTTACCTTGAGATCACAGTGTTATCTCCTGCCCAACTGCATGATTAATTTAACATTTGGCTTGCCAGACTAAAATATTAACATGACTGTCTCTATTCACAAGAGTGTTTATATTTTATATAGCATTATGTACTTCTTAAAGGGTATCTTCACCTGAGATTTTAAATATCTTCTTTATCCATTCATTTGTTGTTGGACAGTTAGGTTGCTTCCATGCTTGGCTTTTGTAAATATTGCTGCTATGAATATTGGGATACATGTGTCTTTTTGAATTATGGTTTCCCCAGGTTATATGCCCAGTTGTGAGATTGCTGGGTCATATAGTAGTTGTATTTTTAGTTTTCTAAGGAACCTCCATACTGTTCCCCATAATGGCTGTATCAATTTACATTCCTACCAACAGTGCAAGAGGGTTCCCTTTTCTCCATACTCTGTAGCATTTATTGTTTGTGTATTTTTTGGTGATGGCCATTCTGACAGGTATGAGGTAATACCTTATTGTAGTTTTGATCTACATTTCTCTAACCATGATGTTGACCATCTTTTCATGTGCCTCTTGGTCATCTGTATATCTTCTTTGAAGAAACGTCTATTTAGGTCTTCTGCCTATTTTTTTTTCTTCTTTTAATATTGAGCTTCATGAACTGTTTGTATATTTTGGAGACTAATCCCTGTCAGTTGCTCAGCTTGCATTTATTTTCTCCCATTCTCAGGGTTGTGTTTTCATTTCATTTATGGTACCTATATACACTGGAATATTACTCATCCATAGAAAGGAATGAATGGGTCATTTGTAAAGACATGGATGGACCTAGAGTCTATCATACAGAGTAAAGTAAGTCAGAAAGAGAAAAGCAAACAAAATGCTTATATTAATGCATATATATATGGAATCTAGAAAAACTGGTACAGATAAACCTATTTACAGGGCAGGAATGGAGTCATAGATGCAGAGGACAGACATGTGGACATTGTGAGGGATGAGGAGGCGGGGAAGATGAACTGGGAGATTAGGATTGACACATATACACACTACCACATGTAAAACAGACAGCTAGTGGGAAGCTGCTGTATAGCACAGGAAGCTCAGCTCAGTGCTCTGTGATGACCTAGAGGGGAGGGATGGGGGGTTGGGAGGTCTAAAAAGGAGGGGATATGTGTATACATATCACTGAGTTACTTCATTGTACAGCAGAAACTAATACAACATTGTAAAGCAACTATACCCTAATAAATTAAAAATAAATAAATATTTAAATATCCTCACAGAAAATGCTTGTACAATGTTTGCTTGTACAAATGCTTGTACAAAGATTAACAGAATGAGTAATGTAAAAATCCACTCTTTGAAATTCAGCATTTATTTTGTTGATTACTTGATAAGAAACTTGAATCTAACAGCAGTTTACCTTCTGAATTGGTGGACAATGAGAGCTTAGAGAAGAATGAAACGATTCTGTTACACATTCTTATAGGATGGTGGTCTAAGGCAAAATGCCTGTTGATGGAATTCAGAAATTTAAACAGCACTCAGAATTTAAATAACACTGGTCAGCTGAATGGAAAAAAGTGCTTGGTGGAATATTTATTACAGAAGTCTCCCTAACTCTGTTTAACATTGTGAGTTGAAGAGATGTTTAGTAAAAGCGAAGTTGCTCAATCGTGTCCAACTCCTTGCAACCCCATGGACTGTAACTTACCAGGCTCTTCCGTCCATGGGATTTTCCAGACAAGAGTGCTGGAGTGGGTTGCCATTTCCTTCTCCAAGAGATCTTCCCCACCCAGAGATTGAAGCTGGGTGTCGTGCATTGTAGGCAGATACTTTACTGTCTGAGCCACCAGAGAAGTCCAAAGAGATGTTTAGAGGGCTGTTTTAATTTTTATATGCATAGTAGTATTCATTTGTGTCATTGATAAAACATAAATGATTATATTTATTTACAAATGCTTTGTGGTTCTATCACTTAGTGAGAAATTAATTGTTTGATTAGATTAATTATCTCATTTCAAAATATAATTTGTAGCTTTTTGCAATTCAGTTATTAAAGAGATTGCCCACTTGTAACTTAACATGGTCTTTTTATACTCTTTAAAGTTACTTGGGCAAAGAAGTAGCTACTTTATTTTTAATATTTTAAGTTTTTATTACTTTTTATTTCAGTTTAGTTGCTCTCCAAATTGTATTAGTTTCTACTGTACAGAAAAGTGAACCAATGATACATATATCCTCTCTTTAGATATCCATTTAGGTCACCACAGAGCATTGAGTAGTTCCCTGTGCTAATACAGTAGGTTCTTAAGAAGCTACTTTACATGGAAATAAATTTCCTTGTAAATTATAGGGAAATGGTAAATCATTTCTCCTATTCCCTGTTAATTCACATGCTGGTGCCAAGACATACCTCACTTTTAGATTGTAGGACATGTTGTAAATAGTGTAATTTGAAATGTGGAGAGAAGAAGATCAACTACTTTTTGTAATTATTAATCTTGTGAGTTTTTATTAGAAACTTGTAATTGAACTAGGAAAGCCTAGAATGAAACTGTAGCTTACACATGATAGTTTTCCCCCTCTGTTGTTTCTATTTAGTGAGAGGAAAACATTGATTTTTATATTCTTATTTATAAATGTGTTTTGTGAATAAACTAAAGTCTTACAGAATTTACTTTATATATATATATTTACATATATATAATTACATATGCTATATTTATGTAAATTTCTATGTGAATTTTATTTATAGAATAAAATGTACAGTATCTTTATAAACTGCCTACCATGCTTCAGTGTCTTTGAGGATAAGACAGAGATCTTGTGCTGATTGATGTTTCTTTATTTCAGGGTTAACTGTATCTACCATCCTTTTTGGCATCATAAGGTCTCTGTTGATGTTCTACGTCCTTGCTAACTCTTCACAAACTTTGCACAACAAAATGTTGGAGAGCATTTTGAGAGCTCCAGTATTGTTCTTCAATAGAAATCCAATAGGTAAGTCAGACATGAAGTTTCTCAATGAATATGTCTTATTAACAGATTTAGTGCCTGATTAGATTTTCATATTTGAAAATGGAAGATATGCTTGGAAGAAAATAACTGTCCGTGTTTTTCATTTTCTACCAAAAACTTCATTGATAATTTCCTGGTAGGAAAAAGATCTGAATATAGGAGTATATAAGCTTTTATTCCAATTTATGCATGTCTGTAAAGATAAATGAATGTTTACTTTGCAGGATGATTTAAGAGTCCATTTGTTACCTATACGCAATATACAATGCAAATGTGTTGAAATGTTTTTGACTAGTTGTTGAAATGTTGGCCATGTTACATAGTGTCAAGTTAACTAGGAAAGACCCTCTTTCAGGAACATCTCTACAGGAGATAGCCTGTGTGTTTGTTTCTTTCATTGTCCATCCATATCTGGGACCACAGAGCTCTGGCATGTGCTCATATTTTGAGGTTTACCTGAATGGTAGTGGAAGATTTAATAAAATACAAGATCAGTGAAATGTGTACATCCTCTTTGATAAAATCAACCCTCTAGTTTTACAATGGACATTTGGTTACATTTAAGAGGTGTTGTGGTACATAGCAGGAGGATCTTCAGTACTAACTAAGAGTGTCCCTGAAGATTTCCCAATGGTTACTTACTCCACACTGAGACCTTTGACCTGTCTTGCTTTGGTAGTCTCCTGACCTGGGTTTCTATGAAGAGTTAGTTCATCAGTATACACGCCCACTCTCGGTTAGACTTGTGCTGAAGCCCAGGGTGGCTTTGTTTTTGCAGATGATGATTGACAGGACCTGTCAAGGCAGGGATGTGACTGGAGAGAGGACAGGAGTTGCCTGGTCATCAACTAGCTGTGTGACCAAGGTCAAAGTAGGTAGATACTACTGGAGGCAAATCTCCAGGCAGGATGTTGTCATGGTTATAAGTATGGACTCTGGAGCCAACTTCTGGGTTCAGCCCTGGTGCTAGTTACTAATAGTAATAGCCAGTGACATTTATGTTAATACTTATGTGTAAGTTATTTCATTTCTCTGTGTCTTGATTTTCTTACCTATAAAATGAAGATACTATTCACACACTTATCAATACCTTGATTTTGTGGGCATTAAACAGGTTAATATATTCACAGCATTTAGCACACGGGCAGTACCTAATGAACCTTAGGATAACAACATGGGGTCTGGAAACTTCCTCTCCTGTGAAAAGGGAATAACTGCTGCCCTTTCTGTTTGACAAGGCTGTTGTGAGGATTGAATAAGACTATTTAGGGCAGCATCTTGTGCAGATTTATTCAACATGTGTTGTTTAGTCCAGGCACTGTGTGGAGCACAGGATGGTAAGGTGCAGAGGCTCACACAGATGTCATCATATTATGAAGCCATAGCGAGGAAGTGATTGGAGGAGTCCATGCTATTATGGCTGTGAAGTTGCTCTACTTTGCCTGTTAATGTGAAAACTACAGTCATAAATTTGGAAGCATTAAATGGGACTGAATTTCTGTTATCACAGCCTCTAAATGCTCATGACCACAGTTCAACAGTCTGATGATGACATGTAGGTTTCTCCAGATGCTGATGTATTTATTATTTAAGGATTTGGAACCAAGTTTAAATCTTCAAGGTCACTAATCCTAGAGCAGCAGGAATACCAGTGTATATCTTGTCTCCCCATCCTGTGTCTATTATCAGAACTTCATTCCTTCAAGAAATAGAAGCCCAATTAAGTACTGCAAAGGTATGCCCAAAAGTTTGGGGACATCAGTTATTTACTCTTTTAGTGGTACACTAAGTTGAACTCTTCCCTGTGTTTATTTTCAAAAGTAGTATTTGTAATAGATAATTTATGGTGGAATTTGTTTTTGATATGTGATGGCATGAAGAGAAAACCACATATAGTAGCATTACTTCTTACGGAGTTCAAGCTCATACTGCTTGCCTTCACAATGCCAATAAGTCTTACAGATGTGTTAAAGCAAGAAATGGCAACTTTATTTGGAAACCTGGCAGACTGAGAAGATGGCAGACTAATGTCTCCAAATAACCGTCTTACTGGGGTCTGGATGCCATATTCTTTATAGAATATAGAGGAGAGGAGGCGAGGAAGTAAAGCTATTGACCTTGCAAAATTGGAGGGGATTTGTTAATTTTTTCTTTTCTACAGCTATTCAAAGGTGGTGAGGGTCAGATTGTCTCCCTGTGAGCTGAAAAAAGTCACTTTAGTTTAACCTGAGGCAGAGGGGCAGGGTTCCCTGACAAAAGCAGTGAATAGCAATGGTCAAAGAAACAGATCCAACATCAAGTCAAAATTGGCTCCTCCCTGTTACAGTTCCTTTGATGTGCACCTGCTTTGTCTGGGGCCAGTACCCTCTTCTTTCTCATCCTGAGTCTCCTCAGGGTGTACCACCTTTGTAGGGGTGACTTCAGAGCCCTCACGGTTGCAGAATCCTTTGTTTACTGATGTGTCAGGTGGCGTTTTAAGTTCACACTACATATTTAATAAAAATTAGTTCTCATATTCTAATCTTGCAGCCTTTAGGATATACTATTGTTGTAGATTCTGAGAAGGGAAATAAAATCAATGATAAGTGATCCTTACTCATCTAGTAATATTTTTGTTTTCCTTCCTATATCCCTCTGATCTTCTTAGATGCTTATTCATAAGTCTGTGCTTGTCACACCTGGTACACCTCTGAAAATAAAGACTTATTACCCCAGTAGTAAACTCACAACTTGGAAATGGTCAGAACTCACAGTTTCCACAAATGTGAGGTGCTGTGAATGATCTGGAGGGAAAAAATTGCAGAGGTTATAATTATGTTGATTTAAAGAATATCACTAGGGAAAATTAATCTTGATAACTAAAGCAAAATTAGTGTAACATTAGGATTAACTTAGGTATTTTGCAACTGTTTATTTAAACTTAGCACTTGGAATGAGTCTTAGATGGGATGGATCTAAAGGGATGGAACATTCTGAATCACCAACCCTTCCTGATACTGCCACAAGACTCCCCCATTCTTTTAAAAATCAGGACTCATTTTCAACTCCCCACTGACTGCCATTTGGTGGTAGTTTTGTTTCTCTTTAGGTATCATCCTGTTTTCTCTTCCTTTTTACACACCTCAGCTTATTTCATTTGAATTTGCAATATAGTAAATTTGCTGTTTAATCATTAAATCATGTCTGACTCTTTTGTGGTCCCGTGGACTGTAGCCCACCAGGTTCCTCTGTTCATGGAATTTCCCAGGCAAGAATAGTGGAGTGGATTGTCATTTCCTTCTCCAGGGGATTTTGAAGACCCAGGAATTGAGCTTACATCTCTTGTGTCTCCTGCATTGACAGGTGGATTCTTCACACCTGAACCACTAGGGAAGTCCAATACATTAAATATTTAATACATGTCTTTCTTTCTTTATTTTTCTTTTTAAGATTTATTTATTTATTTATAGTTTCATTGGGTCTTTGTTGCTGCACATGGACTTTCTCTACTTACAGCAAGCAGGGCTGCTCTTCTATGCAGTGCTCCCGCTTCTCATAACAGTGTCTTCTCTAGTGGAACTCAGGCTCTAGGCAGAGGGGCTTCAGTAGTTGTGCCACACAGGCTTAGTTGCTCTGCGGCATGTGGGATCTTCCTGGACCAGGGATTGAACCTGTGTCCTCTGCACTGGGAACACTGTACCACTGGGGAAGTCCCTAAATACATATGCTTTAAAAATATCATTTTTATTTGTTTGTGAATTATTTTCTATCTGAGGAAATGAGTAATTTCTCATATCCTGTTCTTGCAGGAAGAATTTTAAATCGTTTCTCCAAAGACATTGTGTATATGGATGACTTGCTGCCCCAGATATTTCAAGATTTCATCCAGGTAATGTACCAATCCTGTCGAGTTCTCACAGGGAACAGTAGAGTGCCTGTTTCTCAAGATCATTTCAGAGGGGCTGAAGGTGGTCCTTTCAGCCTGGTGATGTGTCCTGTTATCTTCAATAGAGGTCATGTTTGTGAGAGAAAGGTGTGGCTGTGATTGGGAGGCTGAGTTAACATGAGTGATACCTGGGGCAGGAGTGGCTACACAGTCACATCAAGGCTGGTCTGAAGTAACAACGTGCTGGGCAAGTGGTTCTCCTTCTGCCTTCCAGGTGTCTGGTGTGGATTCCCTTTATTGTGAGTGCATTTCATAACATAGAAATAATCACCTCTTATGGAAAGATAACCTAGATGAACAAATTATACTTCATATTGGGCTTCCCAGGTGACTCAGTGGAAAAGAATTTGCCTGCCAGTGCAGGAGATGCAAGAGACATGAGTTTGATCCCTGGGTAGGGAAGATCCCCTGGAGGAGGAAATAGCAACCCACTCCAGTATTCTTGCCTGGAGAATTTCATGGACAGAGGAACCTGGTGGGCTACAGTCCACGGAGTCACAAAGAGTTGGACATGACTGAGCATGAGCCAAATGCATTGTATTACCACAGAGGACAAATATTTACTTACTATTTTATTTGGGTAAATCCAGGTGTGGTTACTTGCAAAGAAAAGAGTGATAAAAATAAGGTGAAATTAATACTTTAACAAGGACAATGTTGTTGTTGTTAGTTACTAAATTGTGTCCAACTATTTTGTGACCCCATGGACTGTGGCCTGCCAGATTCCTCCATCCGTGGTTCCTCCATCATTCCTCAGGCAAGAATACTCGAAAGGGTTGCCATTTCCTTGCCCAGGAGATCTTACTGACCCAGGGATCAAACCTGCATCTCCTGTATTGGCAGGTGGATTCTTTACCACTGAGCCACCTGGGAAGTCCAAGTACAGTAGAGAGCAGTTATTGAAGATATAAAGCCTTTAAGCCAGTAATTCAATTATGGGATTAAGGACATCTCAGAAAATGGTTTTTGTTTTTGTAGGCAGTTTTTCTTTTCACAAGTTGGTTGCTCTGTCTTAAGGGGTCTTAAAAAAGAGAGAGAAAGACCTACAGGAATACCTTCTATCCAGCCTCTGTTTTGTCTATGAACTTGAGGTTCTAAAGAATGATGTTGGGTCATCTCAGCTCTCATTTCTTCATTCAGTATTGCTGCTCATGTGGACTGTTTTTTTCTGTTATTTAATTCTGTCTACTTTTTAGTGATTAAATACATGGGAAATTTTCTTTTTCTTTCCAAGTGGTAATTTCAGAAATGAAATGCATTATCAAAAGCTGAGCACAGAATTGCAGCAGTCAATATCTGACTGCAGACAGTGTAGCCTCTGGGCACAGCTTCCACTGTTACCAATGTGAATTAAGCTGAGATTCGGAGGCAGATTGCTTTTACTGCAGAGGTGTCTGTTTTGTTTTTTGTTTATCTCTTCCACAAACTTATTTTATAAACGTGTCCTACTGAGTTTAACTACATAATTTATCCCCAGAAGCAATTCTTATCTAAAAACAGTGCTATATTTTAACAGTGATTGTGAATTACTTTGAAAAGATTTTGTGAATGTCTCTGTTTCTTTGTTAATGACAAGCTAGGCCAAGTTTGGGTTTCCTCTGTGTGCCTAGTACATGGTTAGTTAGTGGTCATAATCGGAATCATCACATAGTTTTGCATGATATATAGAGGGTCAGAGATAGATGCTACCTGATTTCAGTAGGATAGTCTCAGTAATGAAGAGAGAAAATTCTAGTCTCACTGATTTCCAATTCAAGCTCTGCCCTGTAGTTCAATTATCTTGAAGTTGAAGGTGGCGGTGTCCTGCAGACCATTGGAAATAAGAGTCTGGTGTTATAGGGAGAGACCTGGGATGAGGATGGTGCCTGTGTGTCCTTCACTGAGCAGGTGGTAGCTGAATCTGTGAAGATGACATGATTGCCCAGTGAGAATGAATGAGGAGGCTCGATACTCAGAGATAAAGCAGAAAGAAAAGGGGAGGAGAGGAGACACACAATGAATAGCAAGGGAGAAAGGAGGAAGTAGGTTGAGGAGTCAAGGAAGGACGGGTCTGTTCAATGCAAATGAGAAGGTGAGTCCATGGAAAATTCTCAGTTGATTTTGAATCAGAAGGCTTCTGGTGGCCCAGGGAACAGGCTTCAGATGGAAGGAGGCCAGACTGCAAAGGGCTGAAAATCCACGAGGTGTGAAGGGAGTTGAGGTGAAGATAGGCTACTCTTGGAATGAGTTTGAAGCAAGAGAAAGGGCCATCTGGAATGCAGGGTGTGAGGATATGTTGCTGGTTGTTTGGATTTTAAGTTTGTGAGTCAGGTGTGTGTGAGGTGGTGGGAATATTTCCCTCTCTCCCTTGTTCCGTTCAACAAACTGGATAAATTTGAGGTTCTGAGGTACAGGCGTGAGTCAGACATGAAGCCCTCCCCTCGTGGGTCTCCTCCAGTCTCCCAGGGGAGGAAGACATCCAGAAACTCACCCCTTGATGCCTTTGGAATCCTAATTGTGGGAGCTCTGTCAAAAAATAAAGATTATGGCATCTAGTCCCATCACTTCATGGCAAATAGATGGGAAAACAGTGGAAACAGTGACAGACTTTACTTTCTTGGGCTCTAAAATCACTGCAGAAGGATATAAAATTAACACACAGAAATCCCTTGCATTCCTATACACTAACAATGAGAAAACAGAAAGAGAAATTAAGGACACAATACCATTCACCATTGCAACAAAAAGAATAAAATAATTAGGAGTATATCTACCTAAAGAAACAAAAGACCTATACATAGAAAGCTATAAAACACTGATGAAAGAAATCAAAGAGGACACAAACAGATGGAGAAATGTACCGTGTTCATGGATTGGAAGAATCAATATTGTCAAAATGGCTATTCTACCCAAAGCAATCTATAGATTCAGTGCAATCCCTATCAAGCTACCAACGGTATTTTTCACAGAACTAGAACAAATAATTTCACAATTTGTATGGAAATACAAAAAACCTCGAATAGCCAAAGCAATCTTGAGAAAGAAGAATGGAACTGGAGGAATCAACCTGCCTGACTTCAGACTCTACTACAAAGCCACAGTCATCAAGACAATATGGTACTGGCACAAAGACAGAAATATAAATCAATGGAACAAAATAGAAAGCCCAGAGATAAATTCACGAACCTATGGACACCTTATCTTCGACAAAGGAGGCAAGGATATACAATGGAAAAAAGACAACCTCTTTAACAAGTGGTGCTGGGAAAACTGGTCAACCACCTGTAAAAGAATGAAACTAGAACACTTTCTAACACCATACACAAAAATAAACTCAAAATGGATTAAAGATCTAAATGTAAGACGAGAAACTATAAAACTCCTAGAGGAGAACATAGGCAAAACACTCTCCGACATAAATCATAGCAGGATCCTCTATGACTCACCTCCCAGAATATTGGAAATAAAAGCAAAAATAAACAAATGGGACCTAATGAAACTTAAAAGCTTTTGCACAACAAAGGAAACTATAAGTAAGGTGAAAAGACAGCCCTCAGATTGGGAGAGAATAATAACAAATGAAACAACAGATAAAGGATTAATCTCAAAAACATACAAGCAACTCCTGCAGCTCAATTCCAGACAAATAAATGACCCAATCAAAAAATGGGCCAAAGAACTGAACAGACATTTCTCTAAGGAAGACATACAGATGGCTAACAAACACATGAAAAGATGCTCAACATCACTCATTATCAGAGAAATGCAAATCAAAACCACAATGAGGTACCATTACACGCCAGTCAGGATGGCTGCTATCCAAAAGTCTACAAACAATAAATGCTGGAGAGGGTGTGGAGAAAAGGGAACCCTCTTACACTGTTGGTGGGAATGCATATTAGTACAGCCGCTATGGAGAACAGTGTGGAGATTCCTTAAAAAACTGGAAATAGAACTGCCATATGACCCAGCAATCCCACTTCTGGGCATACACACTGAGGAAACCAGATCTGAAAGAGACACGTGCACCCCAATGTTCATTGCAGCACTGTTTATAAAAGCTAGGACATGGAAGCAACCTAGATGCCCATCAGCAGATGAATGGATGAGGAAGCTGTGGTACATATACACCATGGAAAATTACTCAGCCATTAAAAAGAATTCATTTGAATCAGTTCTAATGAGATGGATGAAACTGGAGCCCATTATACAGAGTGAAGTAAGCCAGAAAGATAAAGAACATTACAGCATACTAACACATATATATGGGATTTAGAAAGATGGTAATGATAACTCTATATGCAAAACAGAAAAAGAGACACAGATGTACAGAACAGACTTTTGGACTCTGTGGGAGAAGGCGAGGGTGGGATGTTTCGAGAGAACAACATGTATATTATCTATAGTGAAACAGATCACCAGCCCAGGAGGGATGCATGAGACAAGTGCTCGGGCCTGGTACACTGGGAAGACCCAGAGGAACCGGGTGGAGAGGGAGGTGGGAGGGGGGATCGGGATGGGGAATACATGTAAATCCATGGCTGATTCATGTCAATGTATGACAAAACCCACTGTGATGTTGTGAAGTAATTAGCCTCCAACTAATAAAAATAAATGGAAAAAAACATCACTACAGATGGTGACTGCAGCCATGAAATTAAAATATGCTTGTTCCTTGGAAGAAAAGCAATGACAAACCTAGACAATGTATTAAAAAGCAGAGACATAACTTTGCTGACAGAGGTCCATCTAGTCAAAGCTATGGTTTTTCCAGTAGTCATTTATGGATGTGACCGTTGGACCATAAAGAAAGCTGAGTGCTAAAGAACTGATGCTTTTGAACTGTGGTTTGGAGAAGACTCTTGAGAATCCCTTGGACAGCAAGGAGATCCAACTAGTCCATCCTAAAGGAAATCAACCCTGAATATTCATTGGAAGGGCTGATGCTGAAGCTGAAGCTCCAATACTTTGGCCACTTGATGTGAAGAGCTGGCTTATTGGAAAAGACCCTGATGCTGGGAAAGATTGAGGGCAGGAGGAGAAGGGGGTGACAGAGAATGAGATGGCTGAATGTCATCACTGACTCAACGAACATGAGTTTTGAGCAAACTCTGGGAGATGGTGAAGGACAGGGAAGCCTGGTGTGCTGCAGTCCATGGGGTCACAGAGGTTCAGGCTCAACTTAGTGACTGAACAACAATACTTAGAAAGGCCTTATTATAGTGTTTGGCTCATACAATAAACATCATGAGGACCACCTATAGTTTCATTTCTTTGGATGGGAAAGCATTCCTTACTGTTCCAAAATGTCTTTTGAAGAAAGGAGTTTAACCCTAACAAAACAATTCATTAAGGTTTATCTTTGAAAACTGTCATTCATAAGGAGCCCTCTGTATCTATTTTCACTATTTCAGATGTTTTTACTTGTGATTGGCGTGGTAGGTGTGATGGTGGCTGTGATTCCTTGGATTGCTATACTTGTGATTCCCCTTGGAATCATTTCCTTTGTTCTCCGGTGGTATTTCTTAAGGACGTCACGAGATGTGAAATGCCTGGAATCTACAAGTGAGTACCGGGGCTCTCAGGTTGGGATGGCAATGCAGGCTGGCTTCCATTTATGCTGTAATTAACCAGAACCCTGAAATTCCAGAGAGTCTATCTTTTGGAATTTCTAACTAATTTGACATTATGCAATTGAATGTGATGGCCACTGTGAGTCAGTGTGGCCCTTAAAGCAAATGGAGCTGGGGGTAGTTCAGCTGCAGCTTTGCATTTTAGCTCAAAGAGGACAAATGTGAGCACTATGAGGACAGGGAACATTTCTGTCTTGTTTATGGCATACTGCCTAAAACAGAGTATCCACTCTATAAATACTTTCCTTAAAAATAAAATATTTCGTCATGTTGGAACTAATGTGGAAGGAAAATAGGAGTTTTTCTTCTCCTGAAGTTACCAGAAATGACAAGGATAGTAAAAGATTATGAAAAGGAAAGGAAACATTAAGGAAATGTATGTCAGAAGTAACATATTTGAAAAATACATTCATTTACATGTCCAAGTAAGTTGCAGCTATTAAATGTATTGAAAAGATAAGTCCTGTTATTTTCAGTTTTGCTCTTTATCATCATCAGTATTTGGAATGTTACCACACTCTTTGTGATCCCTCTTTTCTCAAAACTTCTAATATAAATAATGTTAAAAATATTCCCCTAGGAGGACACAGGGTGGGTAATCTGTTTTGTAGGCATTTGGCCTATTACTCCAATCAATTTTCTACTTTTAGAATAATGAAGAACAGGGACTTCCCTGGTGGTCCTGTGGATAAGACTCTGTGCTTCCACTGCAGGGGTCACAGCTTCAATCCTTGGTTGGAGAAATAAGATCCCACACAGCACAGCCAAAAAATAAAAACAGAATAGTGGGGGACACATTTTATGATTAATCCTTCTATTCTACAGGTAATCACAGATGATGAAATAATTGAATTTATTTCATTATTAATGTACATATTCCATCAATATTAAAACAAAAAATAAAAGTAGAATTGTTATATATTTTTAAAAATTATAAGAACTGTAGCCAAAAGATAAGGAAGGAAGATATTTGTACCAGAGACCTCAATCAAGAATAATTATTGCAAATCAATACCAACTTAACCTTCTAGAAACCAAGCCAAGAAGAGAAGCATATTGAGTCCCATGGTTCTTTGTATCTACCAAGTGGAAAAAAATCTAAGTTCATCCAGTCAAAGGAATTTTCTCCCTTTATTGTGGCATTTGTGTGATTTGTTTTTAATAATAAAATGCTTAAGAGGTACGTGTTCTAATTATTTGCAAAAAGGATAGTTATCAGTTTCATAAAAGCTGTAGAAAAATTTTTACTCATCAAGAGAACTACCTGAACTCCTGTGAGGTCTGGTCTTGTGAGGTGTTTGGATGGATGGGGAGCAGTAGGGTTCAGGTGTGTGACGTTCTGCTGATGTGACTTGGTAGCATGATAAGACCTGGGGAGGCAGAAGAGGAAGTGATGAACTCCATCCAGTCTTCTTTTTTAGACAAGGTTTCAGATGTTTTATGATTTGAGGGTGCAATTGAGCTGGAGTAATTCAATAGTCTTGTTGGAAAAAGCAGGTCTCTGGTACATTCAAAGAGGAGTCATTCCATAAAGAACATGTGATTAAGATTTATACCTAGGGAAAGGGCCACTTCCCATCCACACAGAAGTGGAGAGAAGGGCACCTCCTGAGGCTTTTATTTGAAGAAGCAGTACAGGATTTTCTCAATGTTTCATCTGAAGAGTCTGAGAACTTTGGCCCCATCTCTGTGGAATATTGGAATTTCTGGTACCCTAGTAGGCTGCAGCAATGTTAGACTGTAAATTCAATCCAGATACCCCCTCCTCAACACCCCAGATAACCACATGTGGTGGCTAGTTGATTAGAATTGTCTATATTCTCTCTCTAGGTGGTCGGTCTGTGTCATAAATAATAACACTGCTGTTTTCTCTAAATAGTAACTGATAGTATATCTTAAGGTTACTGCTGGAGCTACCAGCAAAAAGAAGGACACCTGACTGCTGTGGCCAGAAGGCATAAACCTGCTTCATCCTTGTGCTCTACTGAAGTGCTGAGGTTTTGTTTCAGATCCTATGGCCTAGCTGTCTCTAGAAACTTAGGTTGATGTTTTCATCTTAATGATGAATATTCAGCTGGTGATAATGGGTTTATTTGGCACATTTTTGCAAAATTGAGTAGAGCAATAGTCACAGAGCAGTGCATAAAACCTGGATGGCATTTGATTGCCTTTCTCTAGCCAACTCTTTTTTGTTTGTTTTTAAACTTTTTATTTTGTATTGTTCAGTTCAGTTCAGTCACTCAGTCATAGCTGACTTTGTGACCACATGGACTGCAGCATGCCAGGCCTCCCAGTTCATCACCAACTTCCAGAGTTTACTCAAACTCATGTCCATTGAGCCAGTGATGCCATCCAACCATCTCATCTTCTACCGTCCCTGTCTCCTCCCACCTTCAGTCTTTCCTAGCATCAGGGTCTTTTCAAATGAGTCAGTTCTTCACATCAGGTGGCCAAAGTATTGGAGTTTCAGCTTTAGCATCAGTCTTTCCAGTGAATATTCAGGACTGTTTGCTGTCCAAGGGACTCTTAAGAGTCTTCTCCAATAGCACAGTTCAAAAGTATCAATTCTTTGGTTTTCAGCTTTCTTTATAGTCAACTCTCACATCCATACATGACTACTGGAAAAGCCATAGGTTTGACTAGATGGACCTTTGTTGTCAAAGTAATGTCTCTGTTTTTTAATATGCTGCCTAGTTTGGTCATAACTTTTCTTCTAAGGAGGAAGTGTCTTTTAATTTCATGGCTGCACTCACTATCTGCCATTATTTTGGAGCCCCCAAAATAAAGTCTGTCGCTGTTTCCAGTGATCAGTGCAAGGAAATAGAGGAAAACAATAGAATGGGAAGGAATAAAGATCTCTTCAAGAAAATTAGAGATACCAAGGGAATATTTCATGCAAAGATGGGCACAATAAAGGACAAAAATGATATGGACCTAATAGAAGCAGAAGATATTAAGAAGAGGTGGCAAAAGATGTACAGAACAGACTTTTGGACTCTGTGGGAGAAGGTGAGGGTGGGAGGTTTCAAGAGAACAGCATTGAAACATGTATGTTATCTAGGGTGAAAGAGATCACCAGCCCAGGTTGGATGCATGAGACAAGTGCTCAGGCCTGGTGCACTGGGAAGACCCAGAGGGAATGGGTGGAGGGGGAGGTGGGAGGGGGGGTCAGGATGGGGAATGCATGTAAATCCATGGCTAATTCAAGTCAATGTATGACAAAAACCACTACAATATTGTAAAGTAATTAGCCTCCAACTAATAAAAATAAATGAAAAAATAAATAAATAAAAAGGAAAAAAAAAAAGAGAAGAAGAGGTGGCAAGAATACACAGAACTATACAGAAAAGATCTTCATGACCCAGATAATCATGATGGTGTCATCACTCACCTAGAGCCTGGAATGCGAAGTCAAGTGGGCCTTAGGAAGCGTCACTACAAACAAAGCTAGTGGATGTGATAGAATTCCAGTTGAGCTATTTCAAATCCTAAAAGATGATGCTGTGAAAGTGCTCACTCAATATGCCAGCAAATTTGGAAAACTCAGAAGTTGGCAATAGGACTGGAAAAGGTCAGTTTTCATTCCAATCCCAAAGAAGGGCAATGCCAAAGAATGCTCAAACTACCACACAATTGCACTCATCTCATACACTAGTGAAGTAATTTTGTATTGGGTTATAGCCAATTAACAAACAATGTTGTGATGGCTTCAGGTGAACAGTGAAGGAACTAAGTCATACATATACATGTATCCATTCTCCCCCAAACTCCTCTCCCATCCAGGCTGCACTTAACATTCCATGTGCTGCACAGTAGATACTTGTGGGTTATCCATTTTAAATACAGCACTGTGTGTATATCCATCCGAAACTCCCTAACTATCTGTTCTTCTCATCCTTCACCCAGTGACTGTATGTTCGTTCTCTAAGTGTGTGAGTCTGTTTCTGTTTTGTAAGTTCACTTGTATCGTTTCGTATTAGATTCCACATATAAGGGATTTCATATGATATTTCTTCCTCTTTGTCTGATTTCATTCATTTGACACTCTCTAGGTCAATCCATGCTGCTGCAAATGGCATTATTTCATTCTTTTTGGTGTTCTAGGCCACTCTTTGCATTTAGCAGTGTCTGAATGATGAATTCATATGCAAATTCTTTCTGAAGGTCTGCTGTGATCAACTAGCAATACCTGCCACAGGCATTGCCACCAGTGAGAGCATGTTTGTCAGGTGTATTGAGACCATGGATCCTCAAGTTTGCTGTTTTAAGGGGTTCTCATACCAGATTCCCAGGATCTTTGTTCAACCTCTGGTGCTTAATAAGATGTACAATAATGACAAAGGCTGTTGGATATTAGCTGAGTTAGATCTGAGAGTTTTCTGAACATAAATAATGAAGTCTGGAGAAAAATGCCTGTAATCACACATGGGCATCCTTAACCCTGCTTATTCTCCCTCAGAGACACTGGCAGTTGTGAATAAAAGCCCAGCCTTGGGAATAAGGGGCTTCCTAGGTGGTGCTAGTGGTAAAGAACCTGCCTGCCAGTGCAGGAGACATAGAGATATAGGTTTGATCCCTGGAGTGGGAAAATTCCCTGGAGAAGGAAATGGCAACCCACTCAAGTATTCTTACCTGGAGAATCCCATGGACAGAAGAGACTTGCAGGCTGCAGTCCATAGGGTCTCAAAGAGTTGGACATGACTGAAATGAATTAGTACACGTGTACACACTTGGGAATAAAACAATTGGGTCTGACATCTGCTCTACCACTTAGGTTAATTTACTTAATCTTGGGCAGTGAGTGTTCTTAATCCCTCAGTTTCTGGGATTCCTATGAGAATTTCTTGAGTTGATGCTTATAAAGTACTTGCTGGCCACTGCCAAAGACACAGAACCTTTAACAAGAGGAAATAAGAACATAGGAACAACTAG